CTTAAGTAAAATCCTAGCGCATGCGCATTAAAACAAGAAAAATGATTTAAATAATTTTCTTGTGTATATAAAAAAGAATGAATCTAGAAAATTATTTTGAGAATAATAATTTTTTAATAAAACCTTCAACTCAGGTATATTATATTACTGCAATATTAAAAAAGTATGGGTATAAGAATGGTGAAAATAAAGTTGACTTTGCTGCAAGTATAGGCAAAAATGATATTATTACTTTATTAATTCAATTAGGTTATAAAGGACATCTTGAAGTAGTGAAATATTTACATTCTATAGGATATAGAGAAGAATGTTCAATCGATTATGCTGCAAGTAATGGTCACCTTGAAGTAGTAAAATATTTACATTCTATTGGATATAGAGTAGAAGGATGGACAATTACTTGTGCTGCAATAAATGGTCATCTTGAAGTAGTAAAGTATTTACATTCAATAGGATATAGAGGAACAAGATCAGCAGTTTATTATGCTGCAGAAAATGGTCATCTTGAAGTAGTAAAATATTTAATTGAATTAGGATATGAATGTGATGAATGGATAATTAATGATGTTGAACGTAAAGGAAAAAATGCTAAACAACTTCTTAAAGTATTAATAGATTTACATTCTATTGGATATAAAGGTACGGAAAAAGCAATTTTTCATGCTAAATTAGCTGGTTACCTTGAAGCATTTGAATATTTACGTTCAATAGGACATAGATACAGTTGATAACGCTTTTAGAAACAGCAAGAAAAGTCACGTGACCTATGACGTCATGCAAGAAATTTTCGTAATATTTCATAACAAGAAATAAAAATTAACACTTATTTTAAAAAATCAATTTTTTAAAATAAAAAATTATTTCTTGTTGAAATAATTTATACACAACATGGTTAACATTGAACCCTATATTAATATTAATTTATGGTTGAAAATAGGGTTAAAAATGAAAATGGCCCAGAACTCTCCTTCTTCTACTACTTTTATTCATTACTTTTAATTTTTAGATTTACTTTGGGATACCTTTTTGGCAGTTAGAAGAATAAATAATTATACTGATTAATTGCTTTATAGTATTAGTTTTATATAGCTTCCATTGGCTTCTTCTTCTGGTACAACATTTAAGTTGTTGTACTCACTTATACTTGATTTGGTACATCAATTGATTACTTTTATTTTACATTTTTATTTAGTAAAGCTAAATATATATTTTTTAGTATAGCTATAAGTGCTGCTTCCAGTTCCATTAATCGATGTAATAAGTCAAGTATAAGTGAGTACAATAAGTTAGTTGTTGTACTCAGCTTTACTTGACTTATATATATTCATATATATATATATATATATATATATATATATATATATATATATATATATATATATATATATATATATATATATATATATATATATATATATATATATATATATATATATATATATATATATATATATATATATATATATATATATAATAAGCATTAAAACATCATATATGATATCATACTATTTATTTCTTTTTAAAGTATTATTTCGGCTCATATAGTAAGAGCCATTATCAAACAAATAGAACCGTTAATCAAATTAACCATAAACTATTGTCAAACTAATAAAGTGGTTTTATTAGTTTGATAATGGCTAGTTTGAAAATCACTATATAAGCCAAAATATTACTTGAAAAAGAAACATGATTTTTTAATGCTTATATTATTATTACACATAGTATTAAAGATGTCATTTAAATTTTATATATATGTGTATATATATGTACATATATATATATATATATATATATATATATATATATATATATATATATATATATATATAGTGGCGGAATAAGACTTCTTGGGGCCCGGGGCTATTTTTGTTTTTGAAGGCCTTTTTATGAGCCAGAGCCTAAAAATGACTAAAAAAAAAAAAAAAAAGGTCCTCTAAAATTTTTGGAGGCCCCTAAATTTGCGGGACCCGGGGCTATAGCCCCCCCTGGTCTGGCACTGTATATATATATGTTATATATTTCAGACTCAACTTGGGTATCAATTTTTATTATATTATTATTATATTATTATGATATTTATACATTCTATTATACCAGCATCCTGGACGTCCACCATAGAGGGTTTTCTATCTATGGTGCCAATATGGGCGAGATACTCCATCTTTTAGATGGAGGATTGGCCCACCATATGACACTAGAGGAAGAGAGGATGCTAGGAGGAGAACAACAAGACGTCGCTTAAAAGTAGTAAATGTCTTTGACTTTTAAATAGTCGTTTACAACTTATAAGTTGCTTTTTCTTTTTTTTATATATTTTTTTTCCAAATATTTGTGTTGTTTTTCCATTTCATCCTGTTAATTTTAATGCTTTAAGTTAAATCATTTAAATAAGACACTTTTATTAATGTTTATCAATGGCAATAAATAAAAGTCAGAGTCAAACATTTGATAAAGTTGGTATTATTATGAAATTGGATTTCAAATCCAAATTGGATTTCAAATCCAAATTGGATTTCAAATCCAAATTGGATTTCAAATCCAAATTGGATTTCAAATCCAAATTGGATTTCAAATCCAAATTGGATTTCAAATCCAAATTGGATTTCAAATCCAAATTGGATTTCAAATCCAAATTGGATTTCAAATCCAAATTGGATTTCAAATCCAAATTGGATTTCAAATCCAAATTGGATTTCAAATCCAAATTGGATTTCAAATCCAAATTGGATTTCAAATCCAAATTGGATTTCAAATCCAAATTGGATTTCAAATCCAAATTGGATTTCAAATCCAAATTGGATTTCAAATCCAAATTGGATTTCAAATCCAAATTGGATTTCAAATCCAAATTGGATTTCAAATCCAAATTGGATTTCAAATCCAAATTGGATTTCAAATCCAAATTGGATTTCAAATCCAAATTGGATTTCAAATCCAAATTGGATTTCAAATCCAAATTGGATTTCAAATCCAAATTGGATTTCAAATCCAAATTGGATTTCAAATCCAAATTGGATTTCAAATCCAAATTGGATTTCAAATCCAAATTGGATTTCAAATCCAAATTGGATTTCAAATCCAAATTGGATTTCAAATCCAAATTGGATTTCAAATCCAAATTGGATTTCAAATCCAAATTGGATTTCAAATCCAAATTGGATTTCAAATCCAAATTGGATTTCAAATCCAAATTGGATTTCAAATCCAAATTGGATTTCAAATCCAAATTGGATTTCAAATCCAAATTGGATTTCAAATCTGAGCAGCCGTGGCGCAGTCGTAGCGCACTTGCCTCAGAAACAAAAGATCCGTGGTTCAAACTCAACCTCTTAGCAAGTTATGTGACATCGGTCAGGAAGGAGGCGTGAACTTCCAACTAAATGCACATCCGTGGTGCTCTGTGATAAGACCGTAAGGTCTTCTTGGGGCACCTAAATTAAAGTAAAAAAAAAAAAGAAGAAGGAAAAAGAGTACATAACACATTAACGTGTAATAAGTGTTTTCAATAATAATTTTGTTCCATTTTTAGGACGAATTTCTTCTCTTATAACTGATTTTTGAAAGTAACATACATAGAATAATTTAAGCAATGTTTCAAATGTTGATTGTTATCAATGAAAGCCAAAACGACGTTTCGATTTTAAAGCCATTAAAGTAAAAGCTATATAATAATAAAACAATGTTATTATTCAAATTGCTTTCAAAAGTATTTTTGATTCTTTTTTGTGTTGAATATAATTTTTTTTCGCAATTTTTTTTTTAAATTTATATATTTATTTTATCTTAAGAAAAATGGGTTTGTTTCTCAAGTAAATTTCTACATTTTTGCTATTTGGAATTATTAGTGTGGGTATATTGGCTTTTTTTGCTTTGATTTTTATATTTCCATTATATTTTTATATGTGAATGAAAACCGTTTATACTTTTATCACTTTTTATGATTACAATCTAGACAGTTTCCATTTGCATTGAGTATCGATTTTCGGCACAAACAACAGGTATAATAATAATTTAGTTGACTAACTCAGCTTTTAATTGAATGAAGTTGTTTAATGCGTTTTTACAGAAAAGTTCCTGAAAAAAAAGTTAAACAGATGAAGCTAATTTATTTGAAATACCTAGGTCCCTTTGGCCCGTTTTCTGTGGTCACTTTTGCTTTTTAAATAGAGGTGTAAAATTTTATTTAGCTTTAAGTTAAGTACCCAAAAACACCTGAAGAAATTTTACGCAACTGTCTTGTTTGTTAAAGATTTGTTATGTAAAAAATAGTAAAAAAAGTAAAAATAATAGAAAAAATAAGCAAATTAGGATAGTTTTAAAGTATTGTAAACTAATTGTTAACCAAAACCAAAGAACTTTAAATGTTTATTTCGTTCACTAAAATTTATTGAAGTATAAAGACCAAAATAAGAACAACTTTAGAAAAAGTCAGGAACAAACTCACTATAACACGTATCGTACGGATTCTGACAGCTAGTTCTATCTAGTTAGCTAAATAATAGATTATCTAGAGTTGTATACCTCGGGCATTATTTACTTTCTAAACAATGTACCTAAACCAGAAAAAAACTTAAGTTATTATATTTAGAGAGGTTTAATTTTATGCGGGTTTAGATATAATTTGAACTCGTGATGAGAAAAAAAAAAAAGCAAAATCAGACTTATAGCAAATAGACTCAGGGCTGGCGCGATGGTGGGTGTCACGTGGGGGCGTGCCATTGCAACTTTTGCCAATTTAAAAAAATAAAGGTCCTCGATTTTCAAAATTTGCCGATGCATATCGATATTTGCCGATTGACTGATATGGCCTTATTTGTGCCGACTAAGATTTAGTGTTAGGGGGGGGGGTGACACCCCATGCTACCCCCTATTGCCAGCCCTGAATAGACTAGTGTTTTTTATATTGCTTTAAATGTTTATTTGTTTTTTATTAAAACTTTTACTTTTAAATTTTCCATCGCGTCCTGGTAAATATTTATAGTAACTACAAAACAAATAACTGAAGATTATTTATCATTAATTATTCATAAATATGTAAACACTTATCAGTTTAAATTAATTCATTTAATAAAATTATTGAAGAGAAAGTTTTCTAAAACTTTTTTCACATTCCAACAAACAACCAGCTTTATCACTACGAAACCAACAGGCACAGAAGCAAAAACTTGAGATATCTGAAGGAATTTTTTCATCTTTAATGCAAAGTGAATACAATTGAGTTGCATCACGTAATCTGTTTATCTAAAAAATAAAAAATAAAATAATTCTATTACATAAATTAAAAAAAAAAATACTTTTGGAAGCATGCGCAGTAGCCAGATGCGTCGCGATAGGATACATAAAGTTTAGAGGTCACTGTTAGAATAGATAAAGTTCAGAGGCTACTAATTGTTTTTATATTTTACTTTGTACGTTTCTTAGTCATAGCAGAGTAAAAATATAGAAATATATAAATTACAACAAACTCTTTTCAATATACTTTTTTAAAAACATAACGAAAAGATCAAAATTCAAATACAATCAAAGAGCCAGGTAAAAAACTTAAAATATTTAAATGTTATTATGATACCAATTTATAATTGCATTAGATTTTTTTACACGCATTACTGTAAAATTATCAACTTAAATTGATAACATTTTAAAAAATAGTTCTTTAGATAGGCATTATGAACAAATCATTTAAAAATCTAATAAACTAAAAAATAACCTGTATGATGAAAAATGGGTAAAACTCAGTTACTCAATAAATCCAAATAGCGCATTTAACAATTTTTTCTAATGTATGCCCAAAAATAAAATCTGTAAACAAATTAAAAGACCTTTGATTTCAATTTATTTAATAAGTTAATCGTACCCAAAAAACATTCTATAGCGAAAATTTAGTAGACCTAAATAATCATTTTGAGAGGTTCACTGTAGTTTTACTCATCGATTACTAAGTCGACTAGTCGTAATTGTTAGTGGCAGTGGCCGAAAGTGAATAGCCAATGACTAGCCACTATAAACATGTCAAAAGTTACTGGCTGGCTATTTAAAGCGACTGCCACTAATGGTCCACTAAATAACCGATGAGCAACACTCCAATGAACGCTCAAAATGCCTATAAAGATTCACTGCAAACCCACTAAAACAATGTTTGCTAGGTAATTACACTAGTATCATGAAGTATTGTTGCAGTAATGATGTAATATTAGATATCTTGTCCAATATTGGACAAGATATATGATACTGCGCCAATAATGATGAAAAATATTGGAATAATATTGACACACCAATATTGGCAAGTATTAGTATACCGATATTACTCGAATCTTGTTTGTTCAATATTAGAATGCCATTATTGGAGTCGTATCGGCATGCTTATATTGGGCAATATTTATACGTCAATATTGGCGCATTAGCTTGTTTATATCGACATTTACATAAAGTTGTACTCACGCGTAACAAAAATTGTTAAGCAAACAGTCTTTTTTAAATATGAGTTTTTTATTGGATTTTTAACTTCAGTAATCATTCTAAAAGCTGCGCAAAATTATTATATAGAATTCCAAAGATTTTAAATCACCTTAATAAATAAATAATAAAAAGAATTGTAAAGACATTATAGTTTTTGATGCGTTACGTTTCGCCTTAGTTTTACTTAGTCATGTTTTTTCCATTATAGTATGTGGATCGTAAATTATTTACGATCCGCATACTATATTGCTTTTTATATATTACCAATATGCCAAATCAATATTAGCTCAAAATATTAAAATGTGGACTTTTTATATCGGTGCAATATTATTAACAATATTTAGCCAATATTGAGATAAATATTGTACCAATACTACACCAATGTTGCATACTACCACGGTAGACATATGGTTTGTGTTATAGATATTAAAAAACTTTTATTTCATTTCATAGCATTTTCTGAAAATAGTATTTTTCCTCATAAATTAAAATCAATCTTAGAAAAACGGTATCTTTACTGTCTTTAAAATCATATTTCTTTATTTCTTGTATTTTCAAAAATATTTGAAAAGGTAGTTTACAATAGAATTTATAATTACTTGACATTAAATAGAACCTTATTTAAAAACTAATTTGGTTTTCAAAAATATTGCTATACTGAATATCCTATAGTTAAACTTGTAAACAAAATATCCGCTTTATTTGATAAAGGTGAATCAGTACTAGATATTTATTGCTTTATTTAATATAGGTGAATTAGTACAAGGAGTATTCATTGCTATTTTTAAACAAAGAATTTTACTTTCAAAAAGTTTTTCAAGATCTGACTTATAAGTGGATTTAATAGCTTTTTAATAGAAAGTAATGTGCTATGATCCAAGAATCAGGAGCTTTTTATATTGTTTGAGACGTCCCACAGGAATTAATCCTGAAGCCATTGTTACTTTTAATAAACATAAACAATATGTACAAGATTTTTTCTAAAAGATCCTCTATAAATTATGTCGATAATACCTCTTTAATCAATTCGATACAAAGATACTGTTCAGAAGTATGAACATTGTATTTGAAAGTTTTAATCTCTGGTTTAAAGCCAATGTCTTTGAATTGTGAAAATATAGAAAACTATCCAAAATTTTTGGGCACTTTGTTAGATGAACTTTTATCATTTAGAGACTGACAATATCAAAGTTGTAAATTATTTGGTGAAGATCGAGAAAGTAATCTTTATAAAGTAGTGGTTCATGTTTTTATGATTACAAGGCTTTGAAAATGTATTCTTATATTGTGAAATCCTTACTTGAAGTTTGCATAGCAGGTTTATATATTATGCAAACTGTGTGTGTATATATATATATATATATATATATATATATATATATATATATATATATATATATATATATATATATATATATATATATATATATATATATATATATATATATATATATATATATATATATATACATATATAGTTTATAAATCCTGTTATATAAAAAAAAAACATATCAAGATATTATAATTTATGTAATAAAAAAAAATGGGGCTAAACGTTATCTATGAAAAGGTTATGGTAATTAGTGGCGTCCTTAGGGGGTGCGTTAGGAACGTGCGTGAAACCATTACAAGCTGATACATATGGGTGAAACCAAAATGAAAAACATGCAAGTATGACAGAATTGCTCATGTTTGTGTTAAATTATTTTTGCAATATTTTTCAAGTTTTGATTTTTCGATGTTCTTTGTTAATAACTCTGCTATTTCTTCATTTCACCCCAAAATCTTTCGTCTTCTTTTCAAGATCAAAATATTGAATTTAGTATGCCCCAACTTTTATAGGAATTTTTTTTTAAATTCGAAACCTGGGTTGTCGGCCCTGTTAGTGAAAGTCTAGAGGGGTGACACCAAAAAAGTTTACCGCACTGAGTGACATCAAACCTAGCGCACTAAAGGTTACAATTTTATTATCTATACCTTCTTGGGTCTATTTCTTATATATTATTTATTATTATATAAATATAAACTGTATAATATAATAGTATTATTTATATTTATATAATAATAAATAATATATATAAACAACAACATAAACTATATTATAATAAAATTTATATTATTAAATTTTGAAACAAGAAGGTTAGGCTTTTAGGTAAATCTTTGTTAAAATTTATTATACAATCAGAAAAAAAAATAAAAATCTTGTAAAAAAAATATAATGATAATTGACTTGGAATCTAAATCAAAAATGAACTCAAAGTAGAAAAACATTTAATCAGAAAGGACTAAATGACTATGTTTTTAAAAGAAGTTTCTGAAATTTCAGCATCTCGTTTAAATGAAAAATGTTTGCTTACTCCGAAAACCAAAATTACTTTTATTTGGTTCTAAAATAAGAAGTGGTTACAGTATTTTTCTAAAAAGGATTTAGTTTTCTGTAAATATGTTGGTATTTTGAAACAGAATGTTAAAAAACTACCTATAAAGTAATTGGCTTTTTTTAAACAGCTGCAAAAAAAATTAAAAATGTGTTTAGCTTCACAACGGCAACAACTACGGATACTAATTGCACATTCAATGACTTTGAAGAAGTATAAACAAACGGTTCTAAAGCTATGAAGAAAAAATGAGCCAACAAGTTGAGTATGCAGAGTGTATTTGTTTTATTTGTCCCTGGGACAGTGATAACAAGCAACATCATTCTTCAAAACAAATTTGACCAGTGCTGAAAAATATGAAAGTTGATACAAAAAAAATGTTAGTAACATACCATTAGTTAGTTTGCATAGTAGACTGCCTCATACTTGCGCTACTTCATATTAGGTTTTAATGACCATTTGTGGAGGCGCTTAGCAATAGTAACGAGTGTTTCAATTTTATTTTACACAGGTTTTCGGAATAAAAAAAAAATTAAAGTTATTATTTTTGATGGGCCTCTAATTATTCACCTCGTAAAGTATACTAAATTTATTGAATCAATGTTTAAAATTTTATCCAAAGCTTGGAACTCATTTATTTTAGTTAACAGTAGTTTCCTAGATAATAAGAAATCTGACAACCATGTTGAGCTTGCTGGACGCATGCTATAGAACTTGCAAGAATCAGAGGAATAGATTACAAGTAATAGATTTTTATGGTAATGTGGCGTGAAAATAAAAATATGTTACCTGCACTCGCATTTACATATTTACACGTTGTTTTTTATTTTTGATACTTAGTTCATTTTTATTTGTAATACTTTAAAAATTGTCTTGGCAATTACGAACTCTGGTTGCCATTTAATAACAAAACATACATAATCTTTAAACTATTGAACATAATTGTACAACACATGTTTTATTTTTCGAAACTTTTACTTTGTTTGTTGTTATTAAATAAACTTAAATAAACTTAAGAATTTTTTTTTTACAGATGAACTTTGGAACTAATTTGATGTTTCTTATTTTTATTAAACTTGTTTTTGAATTTAATAGACTTCATTTAAGCCATCTGGCATAAACAAAGTATATTAAATGAAAAAATTTACACTTTATTTGCATCTTTACAGTTATCTTTATATTCATTTATCGACATTTTTTTATTTTTGTTTAACGCTTTGATTGTTTTTTCTTTTTAAAACGTTTTTTTTAAAGGTAACGATGAGAAATTCGTTTTGAAGAGTGACAAGAATTCGTTAATTAAGAAAGAATCTTGTATTTGAAAAAAAGGTGTTTAAGAAACGTTTTACATAGTTTACATTTGTTTTAAAATTTAAAAGGTTCAAGTTAAATACCTAGCAATTTTTTCAAGTGCTCATTTAATGACATCTGAAGTTGATGCAACAGATTCATTAAACAACTACCAGTTATGTAAATACCACAACTACCTACCTTTAAAATATTTTGTTGCAAAATTTGTACTGCAGTACAAAAAATAATATTACAGGCCACAAGTTTTGGACTTATTTAAAGGTCAAAAACAATGGTTACGGCGCTGATTTCAGAATCAAGATGTCCGAAGGTTAAAAACCGTTTTCGAAACGGTTTTTAAGGAACGGTCTCATTAAATTCTCTCCTAAGGTGCTTATTGACATGACCGTTCGGACATTTTGGAGCACCTTAATAAACAGAGGTAAAACAAGTAAAAACTATGGTTACAATTTTAAAAGTTTAAAATTGAAATCAATATACTGAGTAATTAGTAATCTACTTTCAATTTTCATTAAAGTTACTTGATAAAGTATTTAAAAAAAAAAACATACTTCTAGTTTATCATCTCGTCCTTTAATTCGAGGACCAAAACTTTTAACAGATGAAGCCAGGATACAAGCAGCAATAATTTGGACAAAAAATTTCATTTCAGTTTTTTCAGAGGTAGTATAGTTTTTGACTAGATTAAATAACGAATAAAATATTTTTGAACCTAACATACTAATATAAAGACATATTAATGATAAAGAAGTCTAAATAAAACAAACAGACCAATTAATTATGATTATTTTACTAATTAGTTAAAAAAATAAAACGGTATTTAACTTTCATAAATACAACCATTATAGTTGTTTTATTTCACCTGCTTTAATGAAGCTACATAATTCTTAGTTTAAATTTACATCTTTAATTTCCTTTATTAAATTTCTTAACAAGTTTCTTAAGCATAAGGCTGCCGCAAGTTTGTTTGATTTGCATATTTGTTTGATTTAACATTAACTCTTATTATCTTCTAATTATTGAATTTTTTTTTTAAGTTGCATTATTTTAATTTTAGGTTATTTTTATAAAAAAGGAAAGTTGATGTCGCCACATGGACAGCTGCCATTAAAGATTTTAAAATCAATAACGTAGTGGGTTAGAAAATGTTAAACCGACAATAGAAAAACCTCCAACTTTAATCACCTCTTTAGGGTATAGAAACCAATATGTAGTGTTCATCACGGTTAATGAAATAAATCTTGTTTCAAAAAAGTTAAATCAAGAAAAAAGTTTAAATAACAAGTATATAAAATATTTAAAACAACAATTTAAATGAAAGAAAACAAAATAAAAAATTAAAAGATATTACATCTTTTAAAGTAAGCAGAAAAAAGTATAACTTGATGTCAAAAAAAATGTTCTTTACTTTTATTAGTTTTTTAATACTATCCGACGGGCATTTGTTTTTAAAAGTTACGGTCTAAATGTATTTTAAATGTCTTTTAAACGTCTTTTAAACATTAATGTTTAAAAGACGTTTAAAAGACGTTTAAAACACATTTAGAACGTAACTTTTAAAAACAAATGCCCGTCGGGTAAGGTATAAGGTTTTTTAATACTAACGGTATTGCAAAAATGTATCATTTTGATTTAAACGAATCAGCAGCAAATTTGGTTTAAAATATTGAAGCACACAAAAGCACATAAAATTTAAAATATTAAGCATGATTTAAGCAAATCAATTTATTACATAAACCAGGTATGTGGAATCCCAAAAAAGACTCTAGATTTGAAAATCTCAAAAAAGTTATTTCTTCCTTTTTTTTGGTATCCAGTAGCTTTTAAAATGATAATAGGTCTATGGACTTTTAGATCAAAAGAAATTAAATTTTTGAACCTTGTCTTTATGTATTATAGTGGCAAGGACTCCAGGGCTACGGGACTCCGGGCTTAAAAACAATATGCTCTAAGTCATAAAGGTTGAAACCCAATAAGAGAATTTGAAATTTGAAGTCATACTTCAAATCTATAAATTGACTTAAGTAAATGCAAAGACAAAACTTAAACTCAAGTTATAAAATATAATATAAGACTAAAATATAATATAAGAAACAAACTTGAAATGAATTTGTGCTTAAAAAGTTAGTCATTTCAAATTGTTCTTTGAAGTTCAGTACAGACCAGTCTTGAAAGCAAACTTGAAATAAAAAAACATATTGCCATTATCATTATGTAAAAACGTGATGAAAAGTTATGTAAAACTTTTTACTTTCAAAATGATTTTGATAATATGTTTGTCTATTTACTCATTTTATGAGTGAATTACTAATGAATCATTATTTTTATACTATATAAATACATTTCATCAGTACAACAACTGTCAATTGCGTTTTGGTTTTATCCTACTGGTTCATTTTAGGTAAGACAGTATTTATATATATATATATATATATATATATATATATATATATATATATATATATATATATATATATATATATATATATATATATATATATATATATATATATATATATATATATATATATATATATATATATATAAATATTTTTATATATATGTATATATATATATATATATATATATATATATATATATATATATATATATATATATATATATATATATATATATATATATATATATATATAACACTATAGAGAATATATATAAGCTATTGCTACATTCTATGAAATTGAAGTTTCATTTATATATAAACAGTATTTTTTTTTAATTTTAGATTTGAACTTGGATGATTTCTTGAAACAATAGATGGAACATATCCTATAACAAGTCCTGTGGAAGAAAAAAAAAAAAAAACGAGCAGCCGTGGCGCAGTGGTTAGGAAGGAGGTGTGAACTTCTAGTTAATTGCTCTCCCGCGGTGCTCCGAGATAAGACCGTAAGGACTTCTGGGAGCACCAAAAAAAAAAAGAAATACAAAATTGTATCGAAACAGAAAAGGAAATTTTTCTTTGAACTGCCAAGTAATAAAGGATTCTGCTAAATAAATTTTGTCTGCTTGTATTCAATTGGGAAGATGTGTTCAAGAATCGCGAGTTTTTACCAACTCAGCCATTAAATAGGTTTTAGAAGCTCATCAGCGCGTCTATGTTATTGGGGATAACGTCCCATATTATCAACACAAGTTTTTATTATTTTTTTTATTTATTATTTATAAAAACTTTTTTATTTTTATAAAAACTTTTTTTATATAAAAACTTTTTTTATTTATAAAAACTTTTATTATTTTATTATTATTTATTATTTATAAAAACAGTGAAATGTTGGTTTGGAATTTAAAAAAAATATTTCTTTACAATATCTTTTTACAAAAAAAAAAAAAAAAAATTTATAGATATTATTATATTGTTTTGCCTCCAACATTACCTTTCTACAAAATGATCAACAGGTATACGATAAAATGAGAATATTGTAATGAGGAAAATAGTTCCGAAGCATCTACTATAAGTTTTGTAGGAGAAACAAAAAAAAATTAAAACAGTGACTTGATTCTTTTAATAAAAATTTAACTTATCAAAGAATAAAAGCATAAATAACCAAAAAAGTGTTAACAAAGAAAATTTATTTTCATTGGTAAAGTAAATAAAGAACTCAATTTTGAAAAAAAGAATTATCTTGTGAAATAAAAATAACATTCAAAAACGTAGAAATGTTCTATGTTTTTGAATGTTATTTTTCATAAAGATTCCATAAATACAATAAATTGTGTTTATTGTACTTATGGAATAACCTTTAAGTTTTTGAAAGTTTAATAAAAATTATAAGATTACATTATCTTCATAGAATTCTAAATTATAGTTAAATGATTTTGTGGCATTGTTTAAGAAATGTTATCTATTCTCATGGTCTTAAAGTTTGTTAGGTAAATTTTGCCAGTCTTCTTTTTCTCTCTTTTACTAAAATTCAAAAAATAGATAGGCTAATTTAGCCGAAATTAATTGTTTAAATTATAAGCAAAGAGCTATTTCTCTAATTCATACTTTGAACCAAATGGCTACACTCTTACTTTCTTTTCGATGATAAGTCAGCTCAAATTGAGAGGCAACTTTTTGCAAAGCATCCTCATCTGACATAAGTATAAACATATAAATGTTTAGAATTTGTTCCATGTCTGGAGGTTAGCTATCTTAAAGTCCAAAAGATGCTAGTCTCGCCTCTGATCTATACAAATTTTGATTCTATTGTTCTACTGCTGACTTGTTAACCGTCATAACAAAAAGGTTCTGTCTTACATTAGATTAGATCTAATTCTTGTTTACCATTTTCTTACTACTAATTTTTTTCTTTACCTGTATATATATAATATTTGTCCTGGTTTTGATATCATTTTTTTTGCTTGGGGATGTCCATAAACAAACGGTTTTCAAAAATCAACTTTTATTATGAAAAATATATACGCAAGAAAATACAGAACAAAAAATTTCGAGTAAACAAACCAATTATTGCCGTTAAAACACATGCAAAACATTTAATTAAAATGAGTAATAATAACAATTTTAGTTTTCCAAACACAATCTATTTGTGATTGTAAACTATTTAGTGTAATAAGATTAAAGTCTTTTCTACCAGTACGTAAAAAATCTATATATGGATCGAATTTAAGATAATTTGGATAGAATTTAACAAGAAAGTTCATGCCTCATTACCTACCAATCCATTGGTAAGGAATGAGATTTAAACCAGTGCCAGATCAAGGAAGTGGACTATAACCCCGGGCCCCGCAAATTTAGGGGCTCCCAAAAATTTTAGAGGACTTTTTTTTTTTTATTAGTCATTTTTAAGCTCTGGCCCATAAAAAGGCTTTAATAAATAAAAATAGCCCCGGGCCCAAAGAAGTCTTAATCCGCCACTGGTTTGAACTACTTTGTTAAGTGTTGTTCCTCAGTGCTCTGCGATAAGATTGTTAGAACTTCTTAAAGGACCTAAATAACTAAAAAAAGCAGCAACTTAAAAAATCATTGCAATTATGCACATATGGTCAGAACTCTCAATAAATTAAGAAGGCCTGGTACACGTTTTTCCGAACAAAAGTAAAAGTTTTTTAAATTAAAATATATGTAAGTTTTTCATCAAAAAGTATGATATATTGGGTATGTATGGAACAGAGCCGTCCTTAGGGTGGCGCGAGTGGAGGAGTGGAGCTGCCGCTCCAGGCTTCTCTCTAAGGAAGGCCTCACGGAGCGAGGTCTTTCTAAACGCGAGCAACTGAAACTTTGTTTATTTTAACGAGAAAATCCTTAATCTCTTACTTAGTAAGGGCCTCAAGGCTCTAAACTCGTTTAAAAATAAGTAAAAGGTCTTACTGTCGTTAAAAAAAAAAAAAAAAGATTTGGTTAAATGAAAATAATATGATAATAATATACGTGCAAAAAATATATTACCCGCGCAATAAGTACAATAATTTTTTATTTAAAAAACGTATCAACAAGATTCTCCTTCGTAAGAGAAATAGCGAACAAAATAATGCAAAACATCGTTCGAAGCTATTGAAGCTCTTTATTGCAATTACATTGCAAATGGAGGACTAATTTGTCTAACCACTTAATAGAACTGAGTAAAAATGCTTTTACAGACAGTAAAATCTTGCCAAAAGTCAAAGTGCATCAAGCTAAATGCTCTGAAATAATAAAGAATGTTCTTACTAACATATTTTGAGGTTTGGCTTTATTTTTTTTAACATTATT